GAGAGGGGATGGTGGCAGGCCTGGCCTCGGAGCACCAGCCTCAGGAGAGCCACGCTGACAGCACTGCCAGCCACTGAGGTTGTGGAACAGTTTTTAATGAGATGAGTGAAACCTCTTCAATGTTTGATGGGAGATTTCAGTCTAATTGGAGAAAATGGCCGTGAAACAGTTGAACGTCAGTGGAAAGCAGCATCTGACACATCCCAGGCTGTTATGCTAGTAGCTGGGTTGTCAGAAACCACCTCACGTAAACTGTCCCAAAACCAGACTGCTGCCTCTGGAACAAGACTTTTCATGCTTACTGGGTTATTGAGGAATCTTGGTGTGTTGCCTCCTGAGGACCTGGTTTCGTGGCAGTTTGAGCCCATTTATTTATCTAAGTGTGTACAGAAGGACCCAAACCACTGAAATCATTATCTTAGTGTAAAGATATAAAACACTAGGGTGGAAATAGGGGGTTTATTTAGGGAGACACTGGCATTCCCACCTGCTATTTTGTGGTGGCTGTAGAAGTGCCTTCATAGGATGATTCCTGATAAGCTGCTAGTCAAAACTGAGGGCCAGTTTATCAAGGGAACTTTGAATCATAAAATGAACCCTGGAGTGGTTAGTGGTTTGGGTGGAAAAAGGGACCTTAAAGCTCAACCAATTCCAGCCACAGCCATGGGCAGGGACACCTTCATTAGAGCAGGGTGTTCCAGACCCCGTGCAGCCTGGCCCTGAACATTTCCAGGCATAGGGCAGCCGCAGCCTCTTCAGGGGTGAGAGGTGCTGTGTGCTGTTAGCCTCATGTTGGCCCCAGGAGCCAGAGAAGGGGCACTTGGTTTGGAGTAAAGAGAGGCTGAGCTGGCCAAGACCCCTCTTCCCTGGGCTTGCCAGAGCTTACACCTGGAACATGCAATGGTTCCTCTGCTTCGTGGCCCACAGCCTGATCCCAGGTTGTGGGAGCACTCACTGATCCCACTGGGAATGCCATGTGGCAGGGCACAGCACTGCCTGTGCCCAGACATCTTCCTCCCCACCACAGGGGATCACTTCTACAAGCGGAACAAGAACCTCCCTCCAGAAGAGCAGATGATCTCTGCCTTGCCTGACATCAAAGTGCTGACAATAAATGATGACCACGACTTCATGGTCATTGCCTGTGATGGAATCTGGTGAGTAGTGAGGGAGCCGTTGTGCCTCTGGGGCATCACCGCTCCAGGCTTTCTCCAGAGCTGGGCCCGAGGAAGGCCTGTTGGACACTATGGCATGTGTGTTCCCTTTGCCTGCATGCCTGACCTCTCTGCTCTGCAGGAACGTGATGAGCAGCCAGGAAGTGGTGGATTTCATCCAGTCGAAGATTACCCAAAAGGATGAGAATGGAGTCTTGCGGCCACTCTCCTCCATTGTAGAAGAGGTAAGATGAGCTCTGCTGTCCCTCCAGCAATGTGGCATTTCTGTGTCCCAGCTCAGTGCCTGGCTCTGCCCTCCAGCTCCCTCAGATGGGTTCCCTGGGCACTCCAGCCAGTGTCTGACCTCAGGGGTGCTGTCCAGCCCAAGGACTTTCTGCCCACATTCAGAAACCTGGGGCTGCCAAGGCTATCTCTGTCCCTTGTCCGGTGGGAACAGCCTTTGACTCCTCCTGCATGGGTCTGGCCTGGCAGCCCCTGAGCCACTGTCAGGTGCTGGAACGGGCCCAGTGCCTCAGGGTGCTGTTCCAGTGTGTATCTGTTCTCTTTGCTGACTTGCCCTGTCCCTTCCCAGCTGCTGGATCAGTGCTTGGCTCCAGACACCTCAGGGGATGGCACCGGCTGTGATAACATGACCTGCATCATTATCAGCTTCAAACCCCGTAACACACACCCACCTGCTGAGAGTGGGAAGCGGAAACTGGGGGAGCCAGTGGCACCAGCAGAGGAGAACGGTGGGGACAGCACCAAGAAGTCCAAACTGGAGTAGCAGGGCCCACCTGGGGACTGGGCTGTGCTCACCAGACTCTCGTTTCTTACCCATGCTGAACTCAAGACTCCAGGTCTTGTCCTTTTTTTAGCCTTAGCAGAGGCCTTGTTTGTCCGTGTCCTGGTCGGGGGGTGGGGCGGGTCTGGTTAGCAAGGGCATGTCGCACTGTTCATCCGTAACCATTCCAAAGAGGGAGCGAGGACGGAGCCGCGCCCGGGAGCGCTGCACCGCAGAGTCCGTGCTGAGGAGGAGGATGTCCCCCCATTGTCTCCATGTGGTTGTTGCCATTTCTGTGCCTGTGAATTTCTGTTTGGAGGGAAGAACTTTTTCACTGTTGAGATTTTTTTAATCTGCACCCAATTATTTAAGGCCCTTTCTGGTTTTTTTTGTGAAACAATCTGGCGGCAGTGCTGCAGCCACGCCGTGTTCAGTTGTACACTTTCAATCAATACTTTTTTCAAACTAAAAGATCAGAAAATACAGGTGTGGTCTTGGTCCTTGGTTCTTTCCTGGAGGTGGAAGTGAGGAAGGTGGGGTGGGGAGAAGAACATTTGTCCCTGTGGTCTTGGAATCACTGCAGGGTTTTGGCCTGTGTCTCCCAGTTTCCCCAGGATGACTTTTCTGAGGTGTCTCATACAGAGTAGACGTGAGCCTCTGGAGAAGGTCTGTGTCTGCTCAAGGGAGGGGTACCAGGCATGCCCCTGAGCTCACCTGCCTATGGCACCCATAGAGCTGCACCTTCTGTCAAGGTGTGTCAAGAGGCAGCTCCTCCCTGATGCACAGCTCGGACAAGGGCTGTCGGTACCTGTAGCTGCTCTGGCAGGAGCGAAGCCCGTGGGCTGTAAAACACTGATGGAAGGATGTGGGCTATACATGTGAGCTCTCCCTGTGTGGCAGGAAGAGCCCACTGGAAAAGTAGAGCACTCTGTGCTGATCCATTATTTCTTTTCACAGACCACTGACCCCTTTTATGTCCATTTCCCACCCTTGTTCTTTCCCTGAGTCCCTGCTTCCCCCACACCCTGGAGTTGCCCCATCTGCCGCAGGATTCCAGGGAGCCAGAAGCTCTGTGGGCAGCAGACCCCATTGCTGCCAGGGGGTCCCCCTGGACCTCAGGCACCCCTGTCTGACCACCCTGTCACAGCCAGGCCAGAGCCACCACTGGAGGGGACCAGGGCACCTCCTTGCACAGCCCCCAGGATCCTGTGCTCCTGTTCCTGGTGAGCTGCCAGCACTGAACCTGCCAGGAGCCACAGCAGCCCTGCAGCTATTCCCTGAGCAGCTGCAGCAAGGCAAGGCAAACACCTGCAGCTCTGAGGGTCTTTGCTGTGGCACAGGACTTGCCACAGGGGATTTTGAGTAAAACATCAACAGAGCACACAGAAAACGGTCTACAGGTTACTGATGTGAGGTCACCATGAATCAGAGCCATTTTGGGGACTCCACAGAGACTGGAGACTGCATCACAAACCTTAATGACTAGGAACAAAGTCTAAAATCAAACCCTCTGGAGATGGATGCCTGGCAGCAGGAATGGGATGACAGCACACGGCAATTGAGACAAACTGGTTTTAATGTCACCAAGCAAAGCTGCCTCAGCTCTCAGGGACTGCAGACATAACTAATGTTTTAGGATTGCTTGTCCCTGTGATTATTCATTCTGTTTATTCAAAATCAGGAGTACCCTCGACCAGGATGTTGCCAGCATGGAGGAAGTGTGAGGTACTGAGCAGCCCCTTCCCAGAGTGATCTGAGATAAACCCACCTGGCAGCAAATGGAAGTTGTGCTGAAAGCAAACCCACTTTTGCAAAGGAAAAAAGTCTTCCTGAGAGGTCTCCTCAGGCAGCCCTATTCTAGGGCAACACACCAGCTCATCCAGAGTTCCTAAGCGTGGAAGCAGCCTAAGCAGCACATCCAGCTGCAGCACTGGGCTGTGTGAGGCTCTGAAGCACCAGAATCACACAGGGCGCAAGAGCCCAGCCTGGACACTCCAGAGCAGTTCAGGACTGGACAACTCACTGCAGAGCCACCAGACAGGGTGGGGAGCTGCAGCCTGGGGCTGCCAGGGAAGGGGGTCAAAGGTACCAGGAGAGGCAGCACCTGGGCTGGGGAGGGACAGACTGAGCTGCAGAAGCCAAAACAACAGCCCAGGACCAGATGGGTGGAGTTCATCTTCAAAAAGGGAAGATGTGCAGTTCAAGGTATTGCCAAAGGCACAACCCCATCACGTGGGAGTCCCAGAGCAGCTGGAGGAAGCTGTGCAGGTGAGCCAACCCACAAACCTCATCTCCCATGGAGATAGGCTGGGACAGCTGGGGATGTTCAGTCTGGAGAAGAGAGGATCCAGGGAGACCTTAGAGTCACAGTGCCTAAAGGTGCTCCAAGAAAGCTGGAGGGACAGGACAAGGAAAAATGGTTTCCCACTGCCAGAGGGCAGGATTAGATGGAATATTGGGAAGAAATCCTTCCCTAGTGAGGCCCTGGCACAGGTTGCCCAGGGAAGCTGTGGCTGCCCCATCCCTGGAAGTGTTCAAGGCCAGGCTGGATGAAGCCTGGAATAACCTGGGACAGTGGAAGATGTCCCTGCCCATGGCAAGGGACAGCAATGAGCTTTAAGTTCCCTTCCAACCCACATTCTTTACTCATTCTGTGACTGCCCAACTCTGAGCAGCAAAACATTCAGGAGCAGCTTTTTTTCCCCAGGATGCTGCAGTGGAGTCAGAGAAGCAAGGATCCCAGTGCCTGAACTACACAACCCATCTGGCAATAGGTCCTCACCTAGAGTCCATGGTGGTCCCTCCACACTGGCCTTTATGCAGGATGGATCCTGTGGGGACCAGCACCAGAGATGGGAGCTGGGGGGCTGCTGCCCTCCCCTAACCCTGGAGCCTGCTCTCGGGGCAGATGAGCTGATACAGGCAGGGAAAGGCCACAATAACCCCTGCGTGGCCTGAGTGTCCTCTTCCTCACACCTGCACAGACGTGATGCCTGTCGTGCACACCACTGGGCTGCCAGGGGGCTGTGCTCTCAGGCGAGTTTTGCTACAGGAGACAGAGGGACCCTCGGTAAGCAGCTTTATTTCCTAGTGGTGCCTCTGGGAAAGGGGCAGACAGGGCTAGTGCAGGGTACAGCAGTGCTGGGGGCAGTTGGCACCCACCCAGGACCCAGCTCCCAGGGCTGGGTGTGTTGGCAGAGGGGGCCTGGCTCTGCCACAGGAGGGCATAGGGCCTGTGTGTGGATCATGACTCTCCCCCTCAGGCCTCCATCACTCCACAGGGACACCCACGGAACTGCCCCTGTCACTGGTGGCTCCCAGGGAGTCCCCAGAGAGGCTCTGCCCAGACAGGGCACTGCTGAGGCTCTGCTGCCGAGCAGAACGTGGCACCGCTTCCACGGACACCTCCACCTCGATGGTGACACCTTCCCTGCGGACAGACACTGGCCTGAGGGCAGCAGCCCAAAGGGGTGCGGGAGCAGGGGACACTGTTTGGAAGGGATGTGCCACTCCCCCAGCCCCCTCGGCACTGCCACCCTGCCTACCTGTCAGAGGCGTCCTGGCCCTCGCTCAGCATGCTCCCCGCAAGGGCCACTGTGCTGGCTGACTGGTTGTCCCGTTCTGGCCACACCGGCCCCGGGCGTGGACTGCGGCTGCTGCTGGGGAGGGAGGCGGTGGGGTCCAAGGCTCCGTCCTCACCCGCTCTGGGGCTGGGCAGCACCGACCACAGCTCGTTCACTGGGGAGAGAGAGCACGCCGTTCCCATGGACTGCCCCTTGCTGGAGCAGGGAGGGCACGGGCCAGGCCTGCCAGCTGTGTGGGACCCACGCTTGGCCAGGTTGTCCAGCTCCACCACGCCGAGGTCCCCAGGCGTGCGGCCGGCCCTGCAGCCCCAGCGGCTCCGGCACAGCGACAGCACCACGGTCCCATACACGTAGGTGAGCACCAGGGGCACACCGACGCCTGCGGGCAGACAAGCGGTCACTGCCCAGCCCCAGCCCCGCTGCCTCTGCTCCCAGACATCAGCCACAGTCCCACCCCCAGCATGGGCAGTGCCCTGGGCACTCACCCACAGTGAGAGCTGTTATGATAGGGGATACAAAGAGAGACAGGAGAACGCTGCTGGTGACAGAGAGGCACTGCTGGCACCCGGAGAGGCTGCTTCGCCGGCTCTGGCCCAGCACCTCAGGGACAAGACAGAAAGGTGAAGGGCTCTACAAAGACCTCAGCACAGCCCCAGGGACTCAGCCTGGCAGAGCTCCAGCCACAGCTATCCAGACACCCCTCCCTCTCCTCAGGGAAAGGCAACCACAACAACACTGCCACCATAGCACAGGTGTTCCCAGAAAGCCCCCCGAGAACCCTCCCTCCTTTCACCCACCCTGACCCCCGCTCCCCAGGCTGAGCACACCCGCACTGGCAGGGGCTGCTGGGGGCAGCAGAAGGTTCTGGCAAGGCAGCACTGTGGGTGGCACAGGGACGTGCTGAGGGAAGTCAGGGGTGGCACAGAGATGTGCTGTGGGCAGCAGGGAGCACTGCAGGTCTGTCCAGGCCAAGAGCCATGGGCTATCAGACTCAGCAGGACCACAGGGACTCCAAGACCACCTGCCAGTACCTTCCTACCCATGTAGATGGGGATCCCAATGGCAATGACAGGGACAGCAACACCCGCAGCAAGGGAGATGACCATGGGCGCTCCCAGCACCATGCCCAGCTGCCACAGGATCCTCCGGGTCCGTGACCACGGCCTCTTCCCCCAGAAAGTGCAGCCAGAGGGGCTGTGGGGACACAGCGGAGCTGAGCCAAGGCTTCTGCAAGTGGCAGACAGAGACCAGCACAGCCTAGCCCCATGTCAGGGGACATCCCTGAACCCACCAGAGAGCAGGCAGCCAGGTTCCTCCAACCCCGAGTTCCAGCTGCCTCCTACAGGGTGCCAGCAGCCAGCCCCAGCCCTGCCAGACCCAGCAGCACAGACCACCCTGCTCCCCCTGGCTAACCCTGAACCTAGCGCAGGGCCTGGATGCCCCCATCCCGGCTCCCCATCCTGTCAGGGCCCCCAGCCTCGGCTCAGTGCAGTCCCACACACCCCCCCCCAGCTCCTGTCCGGGCCCCTTAGCCCTGTGGCCCTGCACTGACCTCAGAAAGTGCACGTCAGAGATCTCCTGCAGGCAGAGCCAACAGAAGAGGCAGCCACAGACCGTGCAGTTCATGCGGTTGCAGCTCCCGTCATTGATCTTCATGATGAAGGCGCTGCAGCGAGGACAGACCTTGATGTCCTCGGCCTCAGCTGGGGGGAGATAAGACAGGATGGGGGAGCAGGACAGAGCAGTATGCATCCATCCCAGCCTGTCCCAGGCTCTTCCCATCCCACAGGTATCATGGGGGGAGCCAAGGTCCCTCTATACACCCCAGCCCAACTGGCACAGGGGCTGTGAGACTGCAGCAGAGGAACTCTGGATCCTGGCTCCAGGAGCCCCACAGGCAGGAAGCACAGAGGCACAGGACTGTGACAAACCCCAGCACTGCTGCTCCCTCCCTGGGCCAGGGCCTCACCGTGGGCCAATTCCTCCGGCTGGGCCAGCTGTGCTGTGGGGGTGGCCAGGCTGGGGGTCGGTGCACAGGGGCCATCAGGGTGCCAGGGCTGCCGGCAGTGGTAGCAGAACTCGGTGCCACAGCCCTCACGCCCACAGGTGAGGCGGGGACATTCGGCACAGCCATGGGCAAAGACAGCGTAGCTGTGGGGAAAAGGCAGCTGGGGCTGGGCTACAGCAGGGTGCACCCTCTCCACACAGCCAGACCAGGTCGTAGCAGTCCCAGTCCTGCACTGAGTTGGAGCCACAGCCCCGGCTCAGGAGAGCTGGGATCCACCCTCACCAACCCACCCTGTCCAGCACCCACAGCCCCAGGGCTCACAGAGTATCTAGCACAGCTAAGGACACCAGCCCTGGCAGACAGAGCTGCATGGGCTCTGCAGCCACACAGGACTGGACACTTTCCTGGGCACTCCCAGCCCAAGGCAGGACAAAGTGCTGAGGAACCCAGCCTGGGAAGGGCTCACAGGACACAGGCACACGCGGCTGCTGCGGGAGAGGGGCCCACACCCAGCCCCGCATTCCCGGCAGTACCTGCAGTCAGGCGCAGGGCACCAGCGGGTGCCAGGATCAGCCACCAGCAGCCGTCGCAGCAGGAACTCCTCATACTTGTCGCGCAGGGCGGGCTCAGGGAGGAGCCGGTGCACGTCGGAGGGCTGGAGCGCGGCGGGGCAGTGCGGGCAGGACACGGGCACGCGGCTCTCGCTGACAGCCAGGCGCAAGTACTGCTGCAGGCAGGCCCGGCACGAGCGGTGCGAGCAGGAGGCCAGGCTGGGAAAGGCCTCGGGGGGCTGCGGCAGCAGGCACAGGGGACACTCCTCCAGTGCCTGGCCCTCGTCCAGGGGCATCACCACACGCGTCTCCTGGGGCTCCTCTGCCTCTGGCTCCGGTTCTGATGGTGCGTCCCCACTGACAGCCTGTGGCTTCCGCCTGAAGCAGCCCAGAAGCCGGCAGGGCCCAGGCACACGAGTGGGCTGGTCCATGGTGGCCCGCCAAGGCAGCCAGGGCTGCTGCTGAGCTACAGAGGGCAGCAGGGAGGGGCTGACCCTGGTGCAGCCCCCATGGCCCGGCTCCTACCTGCACCTCAGCACAAGTACCAGTGGAACCATCCCCAGCTGCAGTCGGCGCCGCTCAGCCTGCAGAGGAACTGCCCCTGAGAGCGAGCCTGTGCCCTGGCAACAGGCCCCAAGCTGTCCTGCCCTGTCCTGCCTCCTTCAGCTGTGCATGACAGGGCCAAGACCGCAGAACTCTCAAATCCCAGCGCGGGGAAGACAGCAGCAACACCGTGGCAGCCAGCTCAGGCACAGGGCAGCGCGACACTCACACCCACCCTCCCCAGGGCTCTCCTCCCAGGGTGAGACATGGCTAAAGCACTTTTCACTGGAGTTCACTTGCCAAGGGACCCAAGACCCAGTCCACTCAGTGACCAGGAGCTAGGTGATTCCTGCAGCCGGGTAAATCCGTCCACCTTCCTCGCTTGGAGCTCACGAATCCATGGCCACCCCACATTCCCTCCCCATGGTCCTTCCCTCTCTACACCCCAAAGCTGCCCCCCTGTCCTCCCCAGCTCAGCAGCACTGCCACACCACGCAGCCTCCAAAATACTCCCGCGTCACAGGCAGAAGCACCGGCACGAGAAGAGGCCAGAACCGGTGACACTCAGGTGAGGCTGAGGAGTCCGAGCATACCTGCTCTGCTGGGCCAGGCACCGGGTGGCTCCACATCCCCCCGGGGACATGGTGCTTCCCGGGAGAGGGCAGCTGCAGAGCTCGGGGCAAACGGGCAGCGGCGGGATTTCCGCGGTGACCGGAGAGCGGCAGGCGGCCGGGGCTGTACCTGTCAGCGGGGAATCATCGCTGGCGGCACGGCACGGCCACGGCTCCCCCGGGACGGCCACAGCCCGGCACATCCAGCGCCCTGGGACCTGCAGAGGGACAGCAGCGATTCGTGAAGAGGCCGAGCGTGGTAACGGAGCGGAGCCACCGGGAGCGCGGACCGAGGGATGCGGGTGGGGATCGGGCACAGCGCGGGGACACGGCTGAGCTGCTCCCCGCACCGTGCACCTTTGTGATCGGCCAGAGCGCGGCGTGACCGGACAGCCAGCGGCCCTTGGGCCTGGAGGGCGAGACGCCGAGCCCCGCGTGTCCCCGGTGTGACCGCGCGGGGACACCGGCAAGGAACTCACCGGGATCTGTCCTCCGCGCCGGCGCTCGGCGGGGCCAGACCCGGAGGGCCCCGGGGGAGGAGCCGCAGCCGCCGCTGAAGAGGCACAGAGACCGTCAGCGTCCGGTAGCGGCCCGGTACCGCCGGGGCCACCGCCTCCCGCGGGCCGGAAGGGGTGGAGCCGCTGCCGTGCCGCCCCGCCCCGCTCCCCGCCCTAGCCGCCGGGTCCTGCCCGTCTCTCCCCGGCCCGGCTCGGCCCGGCCCCTCGCCCGCCGGGCCGGGCACGCTCCCCTCATGCCGCGGCCGCGGGGCCGGCGGGGCCGGGCGGTGGCGCTGCCCCGCGCACGCGCCCGCGCTGCTTCCGGGTCGCGCGGGCTCTTCCGGCACAGCCCCCGCGCGGCCGGGGAAGCGGAAGCGGAAGTGTCCGGGCGAGGCGGGGCGGCGGCGGCCGCCCCGGGCTGGCGGGGGCGGCTGGCGGGCCGCGGGCGGGCGGGCGGCGGGGCCGGGCCGGCGCCGGGGCCCGCCACGATGCCCCGGCGGAAGCAGAGCCACCCGCAGCCGGTGAAGGGTGAGTGCGCGGCGGGCCCGGGGGGCGGCGGCGGCGGCCCGGCGGGGACCCGCGGCGCTCGGAGCGCTGCAGCGGACGCCGAGGATGGCACCGAGGAGACGGCGAGAGCGGCGGTGGTGCTGCCCGGGGACCTGCTGCTGGGCCGTGGCCCGGCCTCCGAGAAGGGACCGCCAGGTGCGTGCGGCCCCCGCGGGGACGCCGCCCCTCTCCGGCGGCCCCGCCGGCGGCGACGCGGCCCGGCCGGGCCCTACCGGCCCCGCGCTCGGCGCATCCGGCGGGGCCCGCCCTGCCACGGGCCCGCCCGGCGCGGGCTCCGGCCGAGCTTCCTCTCACGGGGGAGGCCCGGCCCCCGACGGGGCCCACGGGTGGGTTCTGCCCGCCCGGCATTGAGCCCCGGCACCGATCCCCGAGTGCTCCTCCCCGCCAGGGTCCCGGGCACGACGTGTCCCCGCGGTAGGTTTGGGGCCGCGCCACGCAGCCGCCGCCGGGCTCATCCCGGAGCCACCGCAGCGCTCAGCCCCGGTTCCACCAGCCCCGGCTCCCATTCCACCGCTCCCGTCGGCACCGCGGGCGGGAAGGAGTGCTCTCAGCCTCGGCACCCCGGCCCGGTGCTGGGCAGCGCCCGTCCCGCCGGTGCTCCTGGGTCAGCCCCGGCTGAGGCAGCTAGCGCTGCTCAGCTCCACGGAGCTGCTCACGGTCACCGGCGGGGAGTCACTCCCGCCCCGGGAACCGAGCAGCGCGGGAACAGAACGGCAGAGATGACAGCACAGACTGTCCAGCCCCATGTCCCTGTCCCCGGGGCTGTGCCCTGGTCCATGCGCTCAGTGGCTGCTGGGCTGTGCCCTGCTCCTGCGCTGGCACTGAGGTTCAGTCCCAGCTGCTGGGCAGATGGGGCTGCTCCGAGGACTGTGCTTCCCTGCCCTGGAACGGCTGCTTGGTAGCTCTAGGAGCCTGACAGGGCTTTGGGGACATTCTACCGGGAATAGCTGTCCTCCCATTCCGCCCCAGCCGAGGAGCAGAACAAGGACCTCAGCCCACTAACCAGTCGGGACAGACAAGCTGTCCCGTGAGGGCATTGATGCGACCATTTGGGGGACGGTGCTCTGGGCATGCTGTGGCAGCACTGCTGGGCTGAGGGGACAGGGGGTTCCCTCAGAGGGGACAGCTGGGTCCCTTGCTGTGGCTGGGGCTGAGCTGAGAATAAACGGGATCCCTTGGCAGAGGGCTTGAGGCAGGGTCAGAAGTTCCCCTGTAAGAGCCAGGCCTTGTCATGATGCCCTTTTCTGATGTCTGTGTTTCTGGCAGTGCTTGCGGAAGGGGCTGGGAGGCTGGAGGGGCCTCCCCATCCCACAGAATAGCTCAGCCTCATCCCTGCACCTGCCTGGGGCTCCGGCAGCTGGGCACAGCCGGCTGGCAGCAACAAGGGGACAGTCCAGGGTGGTTCCCGGGATTGTGGGTAGCTGCTGAGTTTGACAGGCCCCAGGGCTGCAGGTCAGGCACAAAACGGGGCCAGCAGGGCATGGCTCAGCTGGTCATGCTGAGCTGTCCCTCCAGCCCCGAACACCAGCCTGGGTGCACATGTGGAGCACAGAGGCTGCAGAAGGATGAGTCTGTGCCCAGCTGAGGAGTTCCATTTGAGAGCCTCGCACAGCCTTCTCCCTGCTGCCACCAGACAGTGGCACTGTGTGGGGCAGGGGAATGTTTCCTGCAGGGTAGAAAGGGCTGGTGTTGGAGCTCCCTGGTGCCAGCCATGCGAGTGCAACCAGCCGCCCACCCCGGGGCTGGGGCAGTGGCACAGTGAGAGGGGCACAGAGCAGCTTTAGGGGCACCCCTTTCTCCAGCTTGGGCCAGGCTGTGCCCACCACCTCCTACCCACCAGGCCCAGCAGTGCCGGTGGGTGATGGATCCACCCATCCCCTCACCCTTCCTGGTGCCAGGGTCTTGGCCAGCCACGCAGAAGCATCAGGGTTTCCCGGGACACCCAGAACAGCCCTCAGCAGGGTGGTAGGAAAGGCCATGGCAGTGGGGCTGCTCACTGCCTGCTGGGTGCCACGGGGTGGGACTGGGGTTGTAGGCACAGGGGCTGTGCCCAGGCCAGCCAGGCTGACACTGCCCCATCCCCACGGTGTTCTCAGCAGACACACTGGTGGGGAAGATCGCTATTCCAGCATACGCCCTGAGCGACGATGACTGCTCCTCTGGCTACCAGCAGCTGAGTGTGGAGAGCGACCCCGAGGAGGGGGGTGAGCCTGGCCCCGCCGCCCTGCCCTGCCGCCAGTGCGGGCTGCAGCTGGCTGCCAGCCTGGGCCAGAGCTGCCTGCAGTGCGCCGGCGCCGAGGGCGGCCGCAGCCAGCGCATCGTCTACTCCTGCCAGCTCTGCCCCTTCGCCTCCCACTACTCCAGCCACCTCAAGCGCCACATGAAGACACACAATGGGGAGAAGCCTTTCGCCTGCCCGCAGTGTGCCTACGCCTCTGCCCAGCTGGTAAACCTGACCCGGCACCTGCGCACGCACACCGGGGAGAAGCCGTACCGCTGCACGTGCTGCAGCTTCGCCTGCAGCAGCCTGGGCAACCTCAAACGCCATGAGCGGGTCCACAGCCAGGACAAGCCCTTCCAGTGTGCTGCCTGCGACTATCGCTGCAACCAGAGCCGCAACCTGAAGCGGCACATGCTCAGCCACCGCCTGCCTGAGAGCGAGGGGCCACACCGACGGGAAAAGGACCCAGGTAAAGGTGGGAGGGTGTGGGGTTGTGGGGAGAGCTACACTGGGGGTGTGGGGCTGGCACAGGGCACAGATCCTGCCACTGACCCGAAGCCGTGTTACTGCCAGGCTCGCCGGGGCACTGTGGGTCGTCACAGAGCCAGTCCTTGCTGGTGCTGTGCCACCCAGTTCACAACCCCAACTTTTTGTCCCGCAGAGCCATTGCTGCCAGAGCTGAGCCTGCACGTGGGCAGCAGCAGCGGCCCCTTCCTACCCGGTTGCGCACGGCTGCGGGGTGAGGAGGCAGCTGCCCTGCCCGAGCTGCTCTTCCCCTTCACGTGCCGCATGTGCGGGCTGGTGCTGGACGACGGGTTCGCACAGGACGAGGGCCTGGCCGAGCAGGTCTGCGGGCGCTGCAGCCTGGCGGTGCTGGGCACCGAGCCGGGTGCCAGCCCCCAGAAGGGCACTGGGGACAAGGGCTTTGCCTGCAGCCTGTGCCCCTTCGTCACCCACTACCCCAACCACTTGGCGCGGCACATGAAGACGCACAGCGGGGAGAAGCCCTTCGTCTGCCCGCTCTGCCCTTACGCCTCCGCCCACCTGGACAACCTGAAGCGGCACCAGCGCGTGCACACAGGCGAGAAGCCCTACAAGTGCCAGCTCTGCGACTATGCCTGCGGCAACCTGGCCAACCTCAAGCGTCACGGGCGCATCCACTCAGGCGACAAGCCCTTCCAGTGCAGCCTCTGCAGCTACAGTTGCAACCAGAGCATGAACCTGAAGCGGCACATGCTGCGGCATACGGGCGAGAAGCCCTTCCAGTGCCGGGACTGCTCCTACACCACTGGTCACTGGGACAACTACAAGCGCCACCAGAAGATCCACGGCCACACAGCCGAGAGCTGGGTGAACCCACGCAATGCCAAAGCCCTGCTGGCCCCCCCAGCCGTGGGCACGGCCCTGCCCTGAGACAGCACTTAGCCCGGCAGTGGGCCTGGGGTGCCGCAGTGCCTGCCCTCCCCAGGGGAGGGAGGACAGGCAGGCAACTCCACGGGGGCTTAGGGCTGCCTTACAGCAGGCCCAGAGGCACACTGGGGCCTCCAGCAGCCCTATCCTGCCTGGGCAGGGTGAAGTCACGACCGGCAGCTCTGACCCCTGCCCGTATGGCAGCACTGCCACATCCCCAGCCACCCCACCTGCCTGTTTCTGCCTGCCGGAGCCTTCCTCTGCCGGGGCCTGGGGAAAAGGGGGGAGGGGGGAACAGGACTGGTTCCATGGCTGTTGCCGTGCTGGTCGGTGTAATTTATATTGTGTATAAAAGCATTAAACAGTCAGTTTTGTTATCTGCTTTTCACACTAGGGGCCTTGTTCTGCTACAGAGGAGGACAGCACAGGGCTGGCACAGAGAAGGGAGGGTCAGCAGCCACCCCCCAACAGACAGCTGGTACCAATCAGGATCCGTTTTAATAATTGTTGCAGTGTGTAAACATCAGTTACTGTCCATTAATGCTCTGTCGGGCTGAGCAGCAGGAGATACGTAGTTACAAGCCTAGATTATGCTGGCATCTATGAGCGGGTTAGAGGGGACTCTGCGCGGAGCCCCTGAGACAGTGTACTGCGCTCTGTCTCGGAGCACAAACCTAAATGCTAATTTGGCATTATGGAGCCTGCCTGGGTCTGCCTTCAGGCTGGGCCAGGCCTTCCCAGCTGGGACAGGAACCGCTCTGCCCCCAGACTGGGCCAGGCCCTGCACTGCAGCTCCAGGGCTCTGCCCGGGCAAACTGTTCAGGTCAAACAAGCCCTCTCCCAGCTGGAGCCAGCAGCGGGAGGAGTTCAGCTGCCCCCACCC